GTTTGCGATCCGCCTCGCCTAAACACGCTCGATTCCCTCTCCCTGGTCTTTCTTCTCGCAAAACTGTCGAGGAGATCGCGCGTATCGCGTTCGCCGCTGGCACATTTTTCTCCGATCGATAAAACAACGAATAGAACGCAAATCTGTTTCAACTACTGTGCGTTCCCGACTAATCCGCGCACGTGTTTCGGTTCGCGGCGGATATTATCCAATGTCGATTAACGATAATAATTGGTCCGCCCTGCGCGCGCCGTACTACGCAACGAATCGCGTTGTTTTCAGCGCTGTCGAAACGCGAAATGCTATGAATTACGATTTATCGGCCGACGCGAATGAGAAACCGTGCAAAATTCCGCTACACGCGTCGACGCGTTGATTCATTCGTGGCGAGCGGTTCGACGAAACGGAAAACCATCGTAATTCGTTCCTCGTAACGCGAAGAAATCGACGCAGCGGCAACGCCAATTCATTGAGAAACGTCGAGCGTAAACACAAATCGGTTCGCAGCTTCCAACCTTATTGCCGAACGGTCTGCCCCTTCCGGCTGAGAAATTCTTCGAGAGAATCGCGCCAACAAGTGACAGTGGGATTGGATTACCGCCGGCTGATTGTCCTTCCACGAAAACTATACTCGTAATATTGTTACGCGTACACGCAAAGCCGTTTTCACCGCTCTTCTCGGATGCGTTATTCATCGCGCGCGAATGCAACCTGCAATTACGCTCGATGCATGTGTGCGCCAGCCAAAAACGTATATCGTCACGTACAACGCTCATACTTCAACTCTACGGGACCGTGCTCTCTAATTTCCATCGGGGAACCAAGTACGTGGCGGATGGTGCCCGTAGAATTGAAAAGAAAACGTTGCGCCTGTACCGACTGGCCAACAATTGATAGCTGTAGTGGTATAAAACGGAGTGGACACGACAAAGTTAACCGGCGCGCCCGACATATGACGTGTCAACGCGCCCTTATAGGGCGAAAAGCTCGCGAAATCCACCCACTCGATGTTTACGTAGTCACTCGCTGGTCAATACTGCCATTCGCACGCGATTCCGTTTCCATTTTTTTTTCTTTCTATTCCCGTTTCGCGCTCTCCGCTTTATTCCCAGCTCGATTTTGACCCCGATTCGCGGGCTGCCCGAACGCAGAGGGTGTTTCGGATCTCCAGATACCAGCGATCCGAACGATCGTCCTTCTTGAAGCGACGCGTGGAAATTGATTTGACCCGTTCGATTTATTCCGGGTTCCACTGGTTGGCGGTTTGCCTCTGCGAACGCGTCACGATAAATACAGTAAATATTCATTGACCAAATTGCTGAACGGGAGGGGACCCACTTGACAAATGCTCGAACACTTTGGAACAAGTGCCCCCTCCCGCGTCAGCGTGCCGGTCCGAAGCGGTCGGTTGTTAATTGGCGCGAACGCGCTGCTCCGATCACGGAGGGCCGCGCTCTCCTCTCCTCGTGGTTTTATTCTCGTCGCGGGATAAGAACAGGTGTTCGCGTCCTGTTTCCCGAGATCCGAACACTCCGCTCTCCCTCGGTCATCGTGAAATTTAGATTTAATCATCGGGCTACCGAGAACGATCTCAGCAATTACGAGGATCGCTCTCGTTTACTCGGAACAACAACCCGTCGAGCGGTCTAGAGAAGGATCGAGCAATTTTTCGGCGCAGTTCGACGGGCGCGATGAAATTTTTGAAGCGCGAACGATACCGGTCGAGGTGTTCGATGCTCTTTCGGAATTCAATGGAATTTCAACGGAATTCTGCAGCGAGCGAATCGTGGTACCGATTCCCTAGAGATTGTAGGTGTGGAACGCCAGCTTATCGCTGATATTGCTCTTTGCCACGCTGATAAACACCGTGTCTGGTTGTAACGCAGCGACGCGCGATTCATTGAATCCTTCTCACGAGATTACGGCCGACTACGCGATTGTTTCGCTAAATACTACTGGCTCGACGCGACCCCTCCTGTTACGCGCGAACGTTTCTTTGCTCGTTCCCGTATCCTCTTCCTTTCGCGTTCTCTTCTGAAGAAAGAAACGGCGATCTCTTCGTTCCTACGGCTTCCTGTTCTCCTTTTTTCCTTTCTTCCTCTCCTTTTTCGAAGTCGCAACGATTCCGAGTTCTTCGATGCACGCTGAGCGCAGCTGTGGATTTCTATTAGCGATCGCCGTCGAGTCTTCCGCGGCATGCTGCCTCCGCGTTAGACAATTTAATTCATTGACGGAACATCGTTGATGGAAAAGTACACGCCGGTTACACCGTTTTCGTTCGATCTTCTCGGAATTCCGGTGGTATTGTCTAAAAATTCAAAGTAAATAGTTGAAAAGTGTCTATAGAATAAAACAGATATCCTATCCTCTACCGTGTACTCCTTCCGTACTGGCCATCTTCGCGTCTCTCCCTTTTTACCCGGCTCCGCCCTAAAACCATCTACATCGTCGAACGATAAAAGGGAATTGTCCTAGGATTCGAGACACGTACACTTGCCTCCCTTTGAAGACGACGAATAATCGTGCAACCGGCGATTTCCTTGTACGGTGCTCGACCAGAGGTGCGCGCCTCGGGGCAAGAAACTTGCTGGTTGGAAAGCCGCGCGCCGCTCGCACTCTTGGAAAACTCCGATTCAAGGTCCGATCGTTGATTCTTGAAATGCGCGTGGAGTCAGGAACACGTCGGGTTGGATCGGGACACAATTATCACACGCCGTTGATACGTGGATATCTGTTTGTCAAGAAAATGTATTTTTGTACCGTTGTGAAATGTACTCTTTTTGCAGCGGAGATTGAAAGAGACTCGCGTCGCGTCGGGAAGAGAGAACGGGAGAAAAGTGAAGACTATATCTACGGTGGAACGGGTTCAAAACGCATGGAGCATCGATCCGTCATCCAGATATTCGGGGATATAAATAGAGCGGTCACCGTAAAATAGACGCGAGGGAGTAATTCCGCGACAGAAGATAAGCGGGCTCCCTAGCCGCTTCCAGTCTTCACCTTCCTTCCTGTTTTTCCATTCGGTCTCGATTTAGGTCCCGCCGGGTCTCTTACAGAAAAGTACCTCGGCCCCGGCGAACTCACCGCGAAACTTTTACAATTTTTATTTGTCGTCTCGCGCCGTATACGTAGATAGACGCTTTCAACGCTCGTATAATTTCTTCGGAGCTCGTTCATTTCGGTACTCACGCTTTCCCCGGTCCTTATTCGCGACTTACAGACAAACAGGAACACGTCGGCGACGATTCCTGAAACATTCGTTCGCATTCAAACTCTCCCCCCAGACACACATCATAAACTTTGTACTCTTTGTTTACTGCCGCTGATGTGCTTCTCCGTCATTTTTGCGCGTGGTAGATAACCTTAAACTATATTTGCTCGCATCCATCGTGCTTTCGCGTATCGATCTTCCATCTGCACCGTGCCCGTATCAGATCTGTGTTTGCGTACCCGTTCCATCCTTCTCGTGTCGCGTTCACATGTTCGGGGGAAAAAAATGGGAGAGAGATCGGTACGCGGACAGACAACAGTTTCCTCGATAAACGCGGTATTCGGTGTAGTCGGAGAATACTTGCTTTCCGAGGAAAATTCATGGCATACAACTGCGCGTCGGTTTCCAGAGGCTTCAAAAATCGATCTGTATATCATCGACCTCGATCGCTACATATTGCATTCGACTTTGCGATCATGACGCATTAAGTTATCGACTTCTCTCTGGCAAACTTGATTCCCGATTGCTCGATAATCGGTGTACCTTCGAGTTTCTTCTGCTTCGAGATTATGAGTTGAACTTTTGAGGGAAAAAAGCAGGCGAAGATGAATAATAAACATATTTGAACCTGGGAAAGGGAAATTCACGAGACCGAGACAATAGCGAAGGAATAATTGTCTTGAGATTAACGCGTGTGTGTGTACATGACAGATTTCTGTTGGTTGCAAGGGGCGCACCTTCCACTTATTTGTTGCAGCAGTTCGTGTCGTAGGACGCAATGGCCGTCCGCCTACGCGACACGTCGTAACTTGTCGAGCAACCTCCTCCCGAATCCGCCCAGTACGCCTGGGCTTTCCACTCGGCATCAATTATCGTTCAGTTACTTATCTTGTTTAGATTTGCTTCGCTATCGTTGGCCTAACCTGTGTTCGACGTATTCCCGCTCTTAAAATCCACCATTATTTTTTACTGTTTTTGTTTACTTTTATATAACCTCAAAGATGCAACACCGATCGTTCCGCGTTGCCATTAAAACAATTATTTCGTGAAGGTGGAAATGAAAATGACCGCAGGTGGTGTGCGCTAATCGTTTCGTTGATAATGAAACGTTGTAGGTAATAAAGACCGTTATATGTTTCTTTTTCTTTTAGCTTTGGGAATCACCTGTTACTGCGAAGGACACTGCCCGGACGATCGACAGAATGGAACTTGCGAGGGAAGACCTGGAGGGCATTGCTTCAGCGCAGTTGAAGAAGTTTGGGACGCAGAAGCAGGAGAATACGTGCCAGAGTGGTCCTTCGGTTGTTTGCCACCGGACGAACAAGGGTTCATGCAATGCAAAGGATATCTAGTGCCACATCTGCAAGGGAAAAGCATAATATGTTGTAACAAGAGCGCGCTCTGCAACAAAGACTTATTTCCTGAATACAAGCCTAGACCTACGGCAGCTCCTAATCCTATGGCCATAGCGTCGGGTGCACCTCTAATAATATTGGCTACCGTTTTATCTGTATGTTTAATGGTAGTTTCGATAGCTATGGTGATTATATACCATAGATACAGAAGGAAAGAGAGGGGACCTTGCCTGGTGCCTTCTCAGGGTACCCTTAAAGACTTTATCGACCAGAGTAGTGGTTCTGGTTCAGGTTTACCCCTATTAGTACAACGAACTATTGCTAAACAATTGGCCTTGATTCAATGTGTGGGAAAAGGACGTTATGGCGAAGTATGGCTTGCAAAATGGAGAGGAGAAAAAGTAGCCGTAAAAGTATTCTTCACACTGGAGGAAGCATCTTGGTTCAGGGAAACTGAGATTTATCAGACAGTGTTGATGAGGCACGACAATATTTTAGGATTCATCGCAGCTGATATCAAAGGGACTGGATCTTGGACGCAGATGTTATTGATCACAGATTATCATGAAAGAGGATCACTGCACGACTATTTGCAAACTACAGTCCTGGATCATCCCAGTTTGTTAGCAATTTGTCTTTCAATCGCATCTGGAATTGCTCATCTTCATACAGAAATTTTTGGCACGCGCGGAAAACCCGCGATAGCGCACAGAGATATCAAAAGTAGGAATATTTTAGTGAAAAGAAATGGTGAATGTGCGATCGCAGATTTTGGTTTGGCAGTGAGGTACATAAGGTAAGAATAGTCAGGTTACAATCCAACGTTTCTATTACGGATATCACAATTGTAAAATTTCGTTTACAGTGAAAGCGGAGAAATTGATATCGCTCCTAACACACGAGTAGGCACTCGTCGATACATGGCTCCGGAAGTTCTAGATGAAACGTTAAATACGTCCTCGTTCGATGCCTTTAAAATGGCAGATATGTATTCTGTGGGTCTTGTATTGTGGGAAGCGTGTAGAAGATGTGTAACCGGTGGTAGAAATTCTATGGTGGAACCGTACGCCTTGCCTTATCATGACGTTGTCCCGAGTGATCCAGACTTCGAGGATATGCGGTTAGCAGTGTGCGTAAAACGGTTACGTCCGGTGATTCCAGCGCGATGGGAAAATGATCCAGTAAGCATGACAATAATCATTTCCGTTCAAATATCACGATGAAGAAGAAGTAACTAAAAACTCGATGTTCGTTTTTCGTTTCAGATCCTGTTTGCATTAAGCAAACTTATGGCCGAGTGTTGGCATGCAAATCCTGCCGTTCGTTTAACAGCGTTACGCGTGAAAAAAACAATGTCGAAACTGCATATTGATAATGCCATCAAAATCGTGTAGTGTTCAACGATTTTTCTCGAAACTGTTACTTTACTTTTGATAGTTAAAAAGAAATTGTCCCATTGTAAATACAACCCTGGTGTACATAGGTTTATTAACAGACTGCAAGCCTGAAGACTGAGTACTAAGATTTACATATACTTGAAAACGTATGAATGCGGAAATTCGTATGATCGATGAGTGAATTAATAGTGAGTCGCGAACGTAATTATGAACGAGTCCATGTGTATGTATAATTTTTTGTTTTTATGTGAAACTCGACAAAACGCGATATCGTCGTGTGTTTTGACGCGCTTCACAGTGTTAAAGTTTGTTGAATATATAATCAAATGATGGCTACTACTTAGAAAAGATAATATTGTTTGAAGACAAGTGTCCTGACTTCTAGACGCGTGTGAGCTTGAAAAAGAGACATTAAAGTAAATTTAGCACACGGTGAAAGATGTTTATAGATGGGTGAATACCACTTTGATAATAGCATTTACTAAATCTATACTAATATTACGAGATTTTTATATTCATTCGCATTGAAGTCCTGTTACTACAAAGCCATGCTAATTTACGTTTATATGTCTCTAAAACGTTTATCGTCATTTCTGACGAGATTATAATACACGTTGATGTTTGAGTTACGAGACATTTTGCAGGATATATACAATTTTACATCTTCAGAAATTCAATACTATAGAAACAATTCTTACGATAAGAATGTTCTCGAACAGCTAGTATTTCGACTATTTGGTTACTATTGTCCGGAACTCGCAAAAAATTTGGCTAGAAATTTTTCAGCAATTCATTTCATTTTCATCCTGTATCCGTGAAATTTTTGCGTTTGTTCGAAATTAATTAAAAAACTGAAAATTATTTCTTTTTTTTTTCGATGTTATTTTTAGTTGTCATTGGCTCTCAAGTACTACTGTGTCTCATATATGACCCTGTATTATCTGTACAGTATGTAATTTATGTTTTTAATTTGTACAAATGGGATACATTAATTATTTAGGTTAAGAACGATTTTAAGTACACTGTCGACTGTCCAGATTATAAACTATTTTTTGTTTGCAATATCATTATACTTACTTGTCATAATATTTCTTATATCCCGGCTATCTTTAGTCTAGTCTAAATTATTTATTTCAACTTATTGTTTTAAATAAGTAATTATTAGGCATATCTGTATATTTCATAAGGATCACGAATGATACGAATATACATTTGACATTATTAAAAACACTGTTATCGAATAATAAATTTCGTATCTGGGCTTTCGATTATTGACTCGAGATCGTTATGTTTCATACGACTTCTGTATATTATGTGACAGAAGTTACTGTTAAATAGTATCGTAGTTTTTCTTTAGGAAAATGAATTGTAATTATATTAAAAATTGTAGTTAATAGCTAAATGATTGAAAATAATGAAAGTTATATTTTTAACAAGTATTAAACATTATCATCTTTTTCCAGATTTATTTTTATTTATTATTATGTGTTATAAAACATTATCCTTACTCTTTAAGTGACAACCTGACTGGACAACCGCTGTATATAATGCTGTTTGTACAATATTTCTGCGAATATATAACAATATATATGTTGAGGGATCTATTCTTCCTTATGTAGATTTTATTGTTGAAGATTCGTATTAAACAGTTGTATACGTTAGTCGGCGGTAACCAATGAAATCATTCGTATGAAACAGATCGATACTTACTATAAATTGAAAATAATGTAAACTCCCAGTTCCACTTAACTTTAAGATCAGGAGTCGTGAAAAAATATTTATTCAATTTGTGAAAACATATTAATCAAACGATTCGTAGACATAAATTCATAGTTTGAATCATTTTTATACGTTAAGAAAATGTGGAGCGTTGATGCAAAGCATCATGGGTAAAGCCAGAAGGGGAGTGTCCACCATTTTTACTAACTGCGTCACTAAAATTCTAAATACGTCGTAGTTAAATGTTACATGTATTACTATTTCAAAAGTATTTCGTCTTCTCTAAAAAATTAAAATTTAATCAAGTCTTTCATTTATTAACGTGTATACGAATATTTCAAAAGAGATTAGATACTTGGCAACAATACTAAACGGCTGTAGAAAGTTTCTTTTTTATCAGTTGGCGACGCTGAGCTTGGAACGGAAGGGACGCCGCTTTCCACTTCCCAGTCTGTTTCGGTCCGCCATTTTTTACTCGGGAAGCGTGTGATTTCGCGTCGTGTTTTATCGCGTTGTTTTACGGAAATACTGACTTGGTAAGTGCTCAAACATTATTAAACTATTTCTCATGTAACCAATTATCGATTGAAAGTAATATATACCAGCGAAATAACATTCATATCGTAGAATTTGTTAAGACATTGGAGCGTCGATATGCAGGGTGTTCGAAGCACGCCATTTCGCGTCGCTTAGGTTTCTCGAAGAAATGATCTTTCCGGTATTTCGTGTTGCTTCTAATCGCAAAAGAAAAATATAACAGTGTTTTCTTGTACGAAACGAACAGGATTCAATTAGTTTATTCGATTTGTGAATCAGATTACACATTGCGGCTTACTATATAGTACGTCTTTCTTCGTCATACCTAAGCGATAACTACTGCAAAGCTTGATTTCCGAGCGTTCTGGTAATTTTCCACGGCAGTTTCGTTACTCGCTCCTTATTAATATATAATTTGAAAAATACCGGAATACGTATATTCGAGAAACTGGATGTCTTTTACATACAGATGCAGTTCATATCTATAAATCTCTTCCTATTTATTTGTAACATTCCGGTATTGCGTCTTTTTTCGGGCTGTTAATAAAACTTAATTTTGCAACGCGCCGGCAATCTTCCAATTATTTCTAGCTCTCGTCAGGTACGTAAATTTTCAACGTTCCATCAACATTTACATTGACGAATCTTCGTCTATGGTTAGGATAACGCTTTAATTAGAAATTTCGTGTTTAGATTTACTGAAAATTTTACCCAATCACCATACATTTTGCTGCTAGCGTTGTAAGTTCTCAACGTCGGCGACCGCGGGTAGCATCATTGACAACAGTCAACGTGTTAAAGTCGCTAATAAAACGCTCTCAAAATCTGGACTAATTTTGCTTTAGAACAAAGATAAAAAGCGAGCGTATCATTTCAAAGATTAATGAAAACTTTGTACCTTTGCAGTAGGTGCAAAAATTAGCTTGATCGACCTGTAAATACGGCCGGGAAGGGGAAGCATATTCCCGCCCGATTGTATTTGTAACCTACACCGTGTAACCGGATAAAAGACTGGAGCGCTGGTAGTTGTCCCATAACAGGACATAGATTTCTTTTTTTCCTTTTGCACCGCGGTATAAAATATTTCCATTTCTTTCTGTTTTTTCCTCGTTTCAACCGGGGTTCAAATATATAATAAAGGAACATGTCTTCTTCGTGGAAGCGCATTCATTCTGCATCGGCTTCGAGTTAGTTACCGTTGGCGTCGCACGGTGGCGTTCGACATCCTGCGACTGGTGTTGTCGCCACAGTCTCGCGCAAGCGGACGCGGTAAGCCGCCATTGCTAGATTGCGTTCTCTTGTGTAAGGTTGTGCGTGTGCCGAGTAATATTGTCGTCGGCATCGGTATAAAATAATTCATTAAATAATCCGTTCGGTTGTGATAATCGTCGGTGAGTGCCGTGCGAGAACGACCGGTGTGATAATCGCGAAGTGAGCGTGCGTCGTTCGACGAGGAAACTCGATTATACACGCTTCGATAGAATTCGTGCGCCATTTCGACAAGGTCGGTACGCTCTCTGTACTGCGTGCTTTCACGGCGCACCGAATATCCGCGCTGCGTTTGCATTTTCCTTGTTCAATGCGAACAGAATCGTCCCAATTAATTCTCAAAACGAATTTTCACGAGCCCTAGCTCGATTTTTCACGATCATTTCGGTCCACGCGTGAAATATCGAGGCATAATCGGCGACCTTCGAAATTCGAAAACTTAGATCGTTAGCAAAATGGTGGAAGGAAGCGCTAGAGGGGGAACCTAAACAATCACCGCGTCGCCATCGAATATCTTTCGCGAATTCAGTCGTGGCTCAGACCTGTTTGCCGTTAGGCATTTCTATGTAAAGTTTTCTAGATTAGATAGCGTTTATAATTGATACATACGTGACCGCATACGAAAGCTACGGTTATGACGCAATCTTGGTTGACGCTACAGAGAACGCGGAATAAGAGTATATGCGTAGTACGCTCTCTAGTTCTGTCTGTCGGTTTTAATTGTATTCATGGGAGTTGAATATGAAAAATGTTTCTCCGTGCAAAGTAATAGTGGCATAACACGGAATAACGAACGTTTGTTAGGATTGTCGCATTTTTATTATTTTTTCCCCCTCATTTCATTTTAGCGCGTATTTTCATTAAAGACGTTGCGCGCCAGTCGAAAATGAATAACATCTGATATGTTTTCTTTCTTGAAATTAGGTTCTAGAACGAGCCGAAAATGCCGGGTTTTAGTAGCGTTGGCACATTTAAAATCTTCATCGGTAATTTGGCCGACAAGACGTCGAATGCCGATATTAAACCGTTGTTTGAAAAATACGGGAAAGTCGTTGAATGCGACGTGGTCAAAAACTATGGATTTGTGGTAAGTTTCCTTGTTCTGTTCCAATTTTTCTACGTACGTGTTCTTATTTATTATCATCGTTCTCTTCGGTTATACGATCAGATTCGTGGTCGTATCGAATGGTTTGAGTATACTCGTTATTAATGTGATCGTGTGTGTTGATTGTAATAGCATATGGAAAACGAAGAAGCAGGTAGGAACGCCATACAGAATCTGAATGGACATGTGGTCCATGGGCAGCCGATCAAGTGTGAAGCCGCAAAGAGTCGCAAGGGGCCGAATACTCCCACGACCAAAATTTTTGTCGGCAATCTCACAGACAACACCAAGGCGCCCCAAGTGCGCGAACTTTTCGCCAAGTATGGCACAGTTGTAGAGTGTGATATCGTGAGGAATTATGGATTCGTCCATCTGGAGGCAACAGGTGACGTCAATGACGCCATCAAGGAGTTGAATGGACAGATGGTGGATGGACAACCGATGAAGGTTCAAATCTCCACCAGCAGAGTACGACAGAGGCCAGGAATGGGTGATCCTGAACAATGCTATCGATGCGGCCGCGGCGGCCACTGGTCCAAGGAATGCCCCAAGGGAGGAATGGGAGGAGGACCGGATAGGAATGGATACAGAGAACGAATGTTTGGACGCGACCCGTACCCTCCACCGCCGCCACCACCGTTCCTTCGGGACCGGCTGATGGGTGGTGGCCGCTTTGGAGTAAGTAGTTTTGCTTTTTTATTATTTTTCTTCCTCTTGGAGAAACAAGTTGCTTGCAACAGCTGATATATTTTGGGCCAGATCACTAATAGCAATGTGTTATTACTTGATCAACAGGACTACGAAAGCTACTACGACAGGAGGGGCTTCGAGGACACCAGGGACCTCTACGAGAGGCGGTTTACGGGTATGACAGGGCCCTGTGACATGGGAAGTTCCATGTGCGGGCTTGACTTTCCACCAATGACAATGCCACCTCTACCCCCAAGACGAGACCCAATGCCTCCTATGCCTCCTCTAGGTATGGGATCCATGCGCGACACTGGCTTCTCCCGTGGTAACGAGTACGGAATGTTCAGCCGCCGATCACCCCCTCCGAGTGGCAACAACGGCCGGTTCAGGTGAGTAGAGTCATCGTGTACCGACTGCCCATTCGTCCGACTTAACATTGTGAACGTTCCAGGCTGGATTAACAGCTCATGCGAATTGGGGTTCGGTGATTCGTCGACATACTTTTTTATACATACATACATATATGTGTATATATATATGTATATGTAGACAGATATGTAGACATATATATATGTATATATATGTATATACATTCTATAATCGTATACTCTTCCCTTTCTCGCAGATGATCGAACTTATTTTTTTTACTTTCCCTGCTGTTTCTCTTTTGAAATTAATTATTTATTTATGGATGAAAATTCTATCGGGGCTCTTTTAAACGCGCTGTTACAAAATTTGTATTAGAGACACTTTTATCTTTCTTTCTCTATCTGTTCTCTTTCTCTCTCTTTCTCTTTCTCTCTGGCATTTGGTTTTTTGGTCTGATCCGTTATTACGTATTCGCTGCAACTCTCCCTGTCTATCTACAATTATATACTGCACGGTATACGTAATTAGTCGCGTGAAGCATGAACGTATTGCCGTATTCGTATCGTTTTTTTCTCTCTCTTTGTTCCGTTGCTTAGTTGACACGTGGAATTTCCAGTAACCGGTTCTAATCTCGGGATTGAATTTAAAGTACGAGTGTCGACCCGATGCCCACATGAGTGCAGAGTCTGCATAGTACAAATGTTATTATATGACGCTTGGACGTTTCTGTACATTCTAAATTTCAGTGCACCTCAGGCTGCGTACCATCTTTGTCCATGAATGCGGGCAACCCTAGAGAGACAGTCCCGGGCCAACGTACAAGTCGTGCAAGAGTAAGTCTTTGACCACTTTTGTTAGCGAGTAGTCATGCCTCGTTCTTGTCGCTGGCGCGTTTGTACATCGGGGGTCGTTTTTCTTCCAATATCGCCGACAAAACGCATTGATTTTTTGTCAACGGAGGAGCAAAGAAATGTTTTGCGAAACAGACGCCTAAAGAAATGGCGGAACGTCGAAGAGATAAAACTAAGAAAAGTATCTAACTCCGGGTCTCGACTGATCGTACCTTGAACATGTCGACTGCTCTTCTAGGGATGTCCCTGTTCATAGACTCTCTTGATCCATGGCGTTAACTGCGAGATTGGCCTGTATGTCTCTCATGAATCCTTTGTGTTTCAAGCGCTCCCTATTACGTACATCACTCGACCGGGAGTGGCGCGGAGGCCTGGGATGAAGAAACGTTCCTAAGGAATGCGAACTAGATTTCTTGATCGCACTACCGCGAGCCAGGATTATGCGATCTACAATTTAAAACGAACTCTCGGTACCGCTGTAGATAGAGAAAAAAAGAGAAAACAAAAGGGCTGGCGCGATTTTCAGGAACGGCGCCTATCGATTGTCTTTGAAACGTCTCGTAAGTAGAAACCAGCTCTCCAGACGAATTGGACAGTAAGTTTTTTTTTTTGTA